GCACCCCCCTAAACCCCCGCTAAGTCCCTCCCCCACTGTCCTCAACCCCCCCCACAACCATATCCCCCTCCCCCCCACCAACCCCACCTGGCCTAAGTTAGCTCCATGAAGCCTTGATAACGTTCAGTTCAGGCGCAAATGGAATCATGGCAGTATTGGATATTTATTTTTTTGTGTTGGGGATATTGTGTGAGTGATGGTGAGGCAGACGTTGTGAGGATGGTGTAATGGAAGGCTATTGTGTATGTGTGGTGTGTGTGTGTGTGGGGGGGGGGTCCTAACACCCCCTTCTCTCTCTCTCTCCTTCCTCTCTCCTACTCTTCCCCGTCACTCTCCTTCTCTTCCTCTTGGATCTTAGTTGATTTCTCTCGATTTTGTTTGTGTCCCTTTGTTTATCAATGTGTTTTGCCGGTGTTTTTTTGTTTGCTTGCATGTCTGTCAATGTGTCTTAATGTGTGTGTCTACGTATCTTTGTATGTGTCCTTGTAATGGATCCATGGGTAGAGAGGTCGTGGCACTGCGAGCAGCAGCAGCTGGGGTTACGTGGTGTCGGCACACGAGGGAGGTGGGCATGACCAGTGCTGCAGGGAGGGTTGAGGGTCTGGAGGTCAGCCTTGACCCCGTCTGCTGTAACTCTGGCACTGTCTGGCTATGTGTGGCTCTGTTGGGCACTGTGGGGCTCTGTGGGGCTCTGTGGGGCTCTGTGGGGCACTGTGGGGCTCTGTTGGGCACTGTGGGGCTCTGTTGGGCACTGTGGGGGCTCTGTGGGGCACTGTGGGGCTCTGTGTGGCTCTGTTGGGCACTGTGGGGCTCTGTTGGGCACTGTGGGGCTCTGTGGGGCTCTGTTGGGCACTGTGGGGGCTCTGTTGGGCACTGTGGGGGCTCTGTTGGGCACTGTGGGGGCTCTGTTGGGCACTGTGGGGGCTCTGTTGGGCACTGTGGGGGCTCTGTTGGGCACTGTGGGGGCTCTGTTGGGCACTGTGGGGGCTCTGTTGGGCACTGTGGGGGCTCTGTGGGACACTGTGGGGCTCTGTTGGGCACTGTGGGGCTTTTTCTGACTCTGTGGGGCTCTGTGGGGCACTGTGTGACTCTGTGTGGCTCTCCTGGAAGTTGAGTTGTGTATTCTGTTGCTGTCATGTTTCTGGAGATTATGTCATTCTGGTAAGGTGTAAACATCTCTGCTAATCAACGTCTATCTGATGCCATAGCCTAATCAAGACTTAGGCTATCCCTCAAAATTCGCAAATATAGAAATTATACAGTAAATATACATCGTATCTATATTTAGTTTTAACTCCAATTTGCATTGGGCCATCCGACATGTCTATAAGGTGTAAGTATGACTCTTGAACGCATGATAAGGTTGATAAGACGATGATATACTAAACACCCAAGATCATCGTCTTCCCCCCCCCCCCACAACCAGACCAAGATTGCAGATATAATAATCTACAGATACAACGATACGAGATTAGACATAGCCGAAGCACTAGATATCAAATACTCTCTTCCAACACCTGGCTACATCGTAGCATCCATAAGGCACTAGATACAGGTTCCTCCCACCTACGAATCTTCTTGTTTGAGGAGCTGTTCACTTGAGACAGTTAAGCAAGTCCCAGCTGTGTCTGGGTAAAAGTGACAGGATGAACAACCCAGCGGGTTTTCTTCCTATTGGGGAGTGTTGTACATGCTGCTATGGCGGTGTGTTCACTCAGAAGATGAGTGGCGCTGCCCAATACTGTCACTATGGTGGTGTGTCCACTCACAAGATGAGTGGCGCTGCCCAATACTGTCACTATGGTGGTGTGTCCACTCACAAGATGAGTGGCGCTGCCCAATACTGTCACTATGGTGGTGTGTTCACTCAGAAGATGAGTGGCGCTGCCCAATACTGTCACTATGGTGGTGTGTTCACTCAGAAGATGAGTGGCGCTGCCCAATACTGTCACTATGGTGGCGTGTTCACTCAGAAGATGAGTGGCGCTGCCCAATACTGTCACTATGGTGGTGTGTCCACTCACAAGATGAGTGGCGCTGCCCAATACTGTCACTATGGCGGTGTGTCCACTCACAAGATGAGTGGCGCTGCCCAATACTGTCACTATGGTGGTGTGTCCACTCACAAGATGAGTGGCGCTGCCCAGTACTGTCACTATGGTGGTGTGTCCACTCACAAGATGAGTGGCGCTGCCCAATACTGTCACTATGGTGGTGTGTCCACTCACAAGATGAGTGGCGCTGCCCAATACTGTCACTATGGCGGTGTGTCCACTCACAAGATGAGTGGCGCTGCCCAATACTGTCACTATGGTGGTGTGTCCACTCACAAGATGAGTGGCGCTGCCCAATACTGTCACTATGGTGGTGTGTCCACTCACAAGATGAGTGGCGCTGCCCAATACTGTCACTATGGTGGTGTGTCCACTCACAAGATGAGTGGCGCTGCCCAATAAACTCACCCCTCGGGGCAAAATTTTAATTTTTTTTTAACCTACTGGTCCCACCTGACCACTGAGAATGCAGAACAAAGACTGTCCAGCCTCCTAAAGTGGGCAGCACCTAACTTTCCCCTCAACTTACACGGTTATCTTGAGATCTTGAGGTTATCTTGAGATGATATCGGGGTTTTTTAGTGTCCCCGCGGTCCTCGACCAGGCCTCCACCCCCAGGAAGCAGCCCGTGACAGCTGACTAACACCCAGGTACCTATTTTACTGCTAGGTAACAGGGGGCATAGGGTGAAAGAAACTCTGCCCATTGTTTCTCGCCGGCGCCTGGGATCGAACCCAGGACCACAGAATCACAAGTCCAGCGTGCTGTCCGCTCGGCCGACCAATGCTTCCCCAACGGTAAATATAATGCTAAATCAGATAATTTTAAGTCATTTTCCCCTCTGCCTCAGATGTTGGAATATAGAGGAAATGTTTCCCCTCTGAGGGGTGAGGCTTCCCTCACCTCCCTGGCCTGGGGGGGGGGGGGGGTGAGGCTCCACCCCCCCTCACGAGTCGCTCCTCATACTTTCAATTTATGGAGGAAATTGGATCGGTTTTGCATGTTTTGTTTTTTGTTTGGCGTGTGTACGGCGCCCGCTCGTTTGCACACACACACACACACACACACACACACACACACACACACACACACACACACACACACACACACACACACACACACACATACACACACACACATACACACACACACACGCACACACACACACACACACACACACACACACACACACACACACACACACACACACACACACACACACACACACACACAGGTGTGCTTACAATGTGTGAATCAGAGATTGGAGATACAGTCACAGAAATATTATATATATATATATATATATATATATATATATATATATATATATATATATATATATATATATATATATATATATATATAAGTAACTGATGTCAACAAATAATGCATAGAAAAATAAATGTTCACAGATTAATACAAGACTCCTGGATTTTCAATCACCAGGAAATAGATTGCAAGGCAAACAAATAAAATCCCTGCAATAGACCTGTGACAGACGACCTGTGCATAGCAACGACCTTCTTAAGCAGCCATGCAAATGGAGTCCTTGCAACTCCAGCAGGAGAGGACACACCCACCAGCCTGTGTCTCATTCACCCAGGATGGAGTCAAATGTTGAGAGAATTCAACACCAAATGCTGCTAGGATCTAGCGATCACAGCTGATCTAGCGTGCAAATGCTGCTAGGATGTAGCGATCACAGCTGATCTAGCGTGCAAATGCTGCTAGGATGTAGCGATCACAGCTGATCTAGCGTGCAAATGCTGCTAGGAACTAGCGATCACAGCTGATCTAGCGTGCAAATGCTGCTAGGATCTAGCGATCACAGCTGATGTAGCGTGCAAATGCTGCTAGGAACTAGCGATCACAGCTGATCTAGCGTGCAAATGCTGCTAGGATCTAGCGATCACAGCTGATCTAGCGTGCAAATGCTGCTAGGATCTAGCGATCACAGCTGACCTAGCGTGCAAATGCTGCTAGGATCTAGCGATCACAGCTGACCTAGCGTGCAAATGAAAGTGGAAGAGGCTAGAGAGAGGAGGAGGATAGAAGACCAACATAAACGAAAGAGGAGTATGACGAAATAAGGGAGTTCTTGAAATAAGTGCAGTTGGTTGACCACACTCAGGAGCATGTGTGGACAAGCTATGATGATTGGCAAACACTCGTGTGTTTACCTGGACAAGGAAGATTGGGTAGATGAGGTGTGTGGAATCATCACATACAAAAGTGCTAAGAAAAACAAGTGAAAGTCGAGCGGTTTGCATAACAAGATTTCAAATACTCTCTTCCAACTCTCTTCCAACTCTCTTCTCTACTCCTGGGGGAACCAGGAGTTGAAGTTCGCCTTAAAAAACATACATGAACACACACACACACACACACACACACACACACACACACACACACACACACACACACACACCTGGTAGCCTGGTGGATAGCGCGCAGGACTTGTAATTCTGCGGCGCGGGTTCGATTCCCGCACCAGGCAGAAACAAATGGGCAAAGTTTCTTTCACCCTGAATGTCCCCTGTTACCTAGCAGTAAATAGGTACCTGGGAGTTAGTCAGCTGTCACTGGCTGCTTCCTGGGTGTGTGCGTGTGTGGCGTGGGAAAAAAAAGAAGTTAGTAAACAGTTGATTGACAGTTGAGAGGCGGGACTAAAGAGCCAGAGCTCAACCCCCGCAAACACAACTAGGTGAATACACACACACACACACACACACACACACACACACACACACACACACACACACACACACACACACACACACGCGCGCACACACGCACACACGCACACACACGCACATGCACACACACGCACATGCACGACTTAAAATCCGTTTTGCATTTCTTTGCAAGTTTGTTGATGGCTGGGGCGCTGGTCAGAATGTTGAGTGGTTACATTATTATTTTTTGGACTTAAATAATAAAACACAGCTGTTCTCAGCGCGAGGCTTTGTGGCACAGTTTGTGTGGCCCCCAGATGGTGTGGCACAGATTGTGTGGCTCCCAGATGGTGTGGCACAGATTGTGTGGCCCCCAGATGGTGTGGCACAGTTTGTGTGGCCCCCAGATGGTGTGGCACAGATTGTGTGGCCCCCAGATGGTGTGGCACAGATTGTGTGGCCCCCAGATGGTGTGGCACAGATTGTGTGGCCCCCAGATGGTGTGGCACAGATTGTGTGGCCCCCAGATGGTGTGGCACAGATTGTGTGGCCCCCAGATGGTGTGGCACAGATTGTGTGGCCCCCAGATGGTGTGGCACAGATTGTGTGGCCCCAGATGGTGTGGCACAGATTGTGTGGCCCCCAGATGGTGTGGCACAGATTGTGTGGCCCCCAGATGGTGTGGCACAGATTGTGTGGCTCCCAGATGGTGTGGCACAGATTGTGTGGCCCCCAGATGGTGTGGCACAGATTGTGTGGCCCCCAGATGGTGTGGCACAGATTGTGTGGCCCCCAGATGGTGTGGCACAGATTATGTGGCCCCCAGATGGTGTGGCACAGATTGTGTAGCTCCCAGATGGTGTGGCACAGATTGTGTGGCCCCCAGATGGTGTGGCACAGTTTGTGTGGCCCCCAGATGGTGTGGCACAGATTGTGTGGCTCCCAGATGGTGTGGCACAGATTGTGTGGCCCCCAGATGGTGTGGCACAGATTGTGTGGCCCCCAGATGGTGTGGCACAGATTGTGTGGCCCCCAGATGGTGTGGCACAGATTGTGTGGCCCCCAGATGGTGTGGCACAGATTGTGTGGCACAGATTGTGTGGCCCCCAGATGGTGTGGCACAGATTGTGTGGCCCCCAGATGGTGTGGCACAGATTGTGTGACCCCCCAGATAGTGTGGCACAGTTTGTGTGGCCCCAGATGGTGTGGCACAGATTGTGTGGCACAGATTGTGTGGCACAGATTGTGTGGTCCCCAGATGGTGTGGCCCCCCAGATGGTGTGGTCCCCAGATGGTGTGGCCCCCAGATGGTGTGACACAGATTGTGTGGCCCCCAGATGGTGTGGCACAGATTGTGTGGCCCCCAGATGGTGTGGCAGAGATTGTGTGGCCCCCAGATGGTGTGGCACAGATTGTGTGGCCCCCAGATGGTGTGGCAGAGATTGTGTGGCCCCCAGATGGTGTGGCACAGATTGTGTGGCCCCCAGATGGTGTGGCAGAGATTGTGTGGCCCCAGATGGTGTGGCAGAGATTGTGTGGCCCCCAGATGGTGTGGCAGAGATTGTGTGGCCCCCAGATGGTGTGGCACAGATTGTGTGGCCCCCAGATGGTGTGGCCCAGATTGTGTGGCCCCCAGATGGTGTGGCCCCCAGATGGTGTGGCAGAGATTGTGTGGCCCCCAGATGGTGTGGCACAGATTGTGTGGCCCCCAGATGGTGTGGCCCCCAGATGGTGTGGCACAGATTGTGTGGCCCCCAGATGGTGTGGCAGAGATTGTGTGGCCCCCAGATGGTGTGGCAGAGATTGTGTGGCCCCCAGATGGTGTGGCAGAGATTGTGTGGCCCCCAGATGGTGTGGCACAGATTGTGTGGCCCCCAGATGGTGTGGCCCAGATTGTGTGGCCCCCAGATGGTGTGGCCCCCCAGATGGTGTGGCACAGATTGTGTGGCCCCCCAGATAGTGTGGCCCCCAGATTGTGTGACCCCCAGATGGTGTGGCACAGATTGTGTGGCCCCAGATGGTGTGGTACAGTTTGTGTGGCCCCCAGATGGTGTGGCACAGATGGTGTGGCCCCCAGGTAGTGTGGCACAGATTGTGTGGCCCCCAGATGGTGTGGCACAGATTGTGTGGCCCCCAAATTGTCAAGTCCTTCCTAGGACCATTAATTCATCTCATCCCCCTTTCCTAGGACCACTTTCTCACTGACCCACACACACACCTCCCGCGTTACGGGCTCACCATAGCCCGTGCTACATGGACACTTCGTTATAAGTAGCTAAATCTGAAACAACAACAGCATCCCGCAAAGCTTCCCAGAGCTCAACAACACTGCCTCCCGACGCCTCTATCATTCCCAACAACTTACAACCTTAGTCATAGTAATTCAGTGTAGTATTGTAGTGTATATCACAATCAGCTTTAACGCCAGGCAGTGGTCTTGAGCTTGTGGGCCCCAGCTCGTCCACTTGTGTTGATGACTGGTGTTGGGGAGCCGTAGCCAAGAGCCGGGCGATAACTCTTCATTTGCTCACACCCCGTGAGTCATCTGTCTCTTCATCAGTTGCAGCTCTCTCTCTCTCTCCTCCGCTGGAGAGTAATGGTCGCTTGGCTGCCCTCTTACAGGCGCCCCGGCTATATTAATGGCCCCACTCTGTATGTAGACTCCATCCTCCGTGCTGGATCCCGTCAACGCTCGGCCCACTTGTACCAATATTAACAGTGAGGGTGAGCGAGTCCCCCTTGGCCGCCTCCGTCCTCGCCGCCTCCACTCACTACCAACACCTTCCCGCCAGTTCCACTGATCACTCTACGATCCTCCACTCGAACTCCATTCAATCCTCAGAGCCTCAATTCATCCCTCAGACCCAAAATGGTCCGATGGAATGGTGTGCAATCCTTCGGGAGCCGTTGTGTTGATTTAGGGGCGACTGAGGGACCTGACAAGATGGGCTCCGAGGGGCTGTTGACACTCCTTCCCTACAGGCCACGTTTAGGTACGTTGCCCGTTTTCCCTTGGCCGCGCACTGCTCCCGTATCAGCCAATCCCATTCTTCTCGTGAAAACGAAATCGACCAATCATATAACTTCTAGTGAATAACAAATCGGCCAGTCAAATTCCTTCCCCCTGAATACCGAATTAGCCAATCACATTCCTCCCAGCAGTAAATACCTCATTTGGAGAATTCGCGAGTTACTTTTTGGCTTCCCTAAACTTCAAGGAATTTCTCCATTTCTTACTGGACTTTGTGGACATGATTTTGGCGGGAAAACGGCTTGATGGGGGACCCTTACTCATCTCCCCTACTTGATGGGACAACCCTTACTCATCTCCCCTGCCTGAGGCACTCATCATCACGCTGGGCAGCCACTGACTCACCATCAACATGCTATGACTCACGCACAATTTTCAAGTATGGTGAATATATTCATGATATTCACGTACGTAATAACGGAGGCAAAATATATGAGCTTGTTTTAAATATATGAAAGTAAATATATGCACATATATAAACACCTGCGCGAGCCTAATATATGCAAACTGTGAAACACTGCATATTCAACCTGTCCTCCCACTTTAACACGTCGCATTTCCGACTCCTTCGACCAAACCGTTACAAAAGCGACGCATTAATGAAATAATGAACACCGGGATATTAACGTTTTCTATGCCTCGGCCTAGCTAGGGGTTGTATGTTTCTGGTGGGACAAAACAGTCGTATTTTTTACGGAGTAGCAAAGTGTATTACGGGGGTGGGGGGGGGGGCAGAGGGAAGCCCCCAGGCGCCCCCGGGGTATAGAAAAAACAGGAAAAAGCCTCCTCAAAATGGCGGCAAGCATTAATAAGTGGGAAAGCAAGTCACTGCCACAGACAGACAGACAGCTATGCAGGCGGAACAGTGCCAGTGATGGCGACATCTCCCTATACCAACTTTGGCGAACTATCGTCAGGCGGAGATAACTTTGTTAAGTGTCTTTTGAGGTAAGTTATCGGTTGGCTTGGGCGGGTGGTACTTCCTCACTGCTACTGCCTCTGGGCACTGCCAGGCTAAGTCAGGCTCGGCTTGGTCAGGCTAGAGCCGGTCGGCCGAGCGGACAGCACACTGGACTTGTGATCCTGTGGTCCCGGGTTCAATCCCGGGCGCCGGCGACAAACAATGGGCAGAGTTTCTTTCACCCTATGCCCCTGTTACCTAGCAGTAAAATAGGTACCTGGGTGTTAGTCAGCTGTCACGGGTTGCTTCCTGGGGGTGGAGGCCTGGTCGAGGACCGGGCCGCGGGGACACTAAAGCCCCGAAATCATCTCAAGATAACCTCAAGATACTCGGCTAAATCAGGCTCGGTTTGAATATTGTCTTATGCACTCCACCTCCCTCAAACACCCCACACAACCCGTAGGGAACTCCACCTGCCTCAAACACCCCACACAACCCGTAGGGAACTCCACCTCCCTCAAACACCCCACACAACCCGTAGGGAACTCCACCTCCCTCAAACACCCCACACAACCCGTAGGGAACTCCACCTCCCTCAAACACCCCACACAACCCGTAGGGAACTCCACCTCCCTCAAACACCCCACACAACCCGTAGGGAACTCCACCTCCCTCAAACACCCCACACAACCCGTAGGGAACTCCACCTCCCTCAAACACCCCACACAACCCGTAGGGAACTCCACCTCCCTCAAACACCCCACACAACCCGTAGGGAACTCCGCCTGCCTCAAACACCCCACACAACCCGTATGGAACTCCACCTCCCTCAAACACCCCACACAACCCGTAGGGAACTCCACCTCCCTCAAACACCCCACACAACCCGTAGGGAACTCCGCCTGCCTCAAACACCCCACACAACCCGTAGGGAACTCCACCTCCCTCAAACACCCCACACAACCCGTAGGGAACTCCACCTCCCTCAAACACCCCACACAACCCGTAGGGAACTCCACCTCCCTCAAACACCCCACACAACCCGTAGGGAACTCCGCCTGCCTCAAACACCCCACACAACCCGTAGGGAACTCCACCTCCCTCAAACACCCCACACAACCCGTAGGGAACTCCACCTCCCTCAAACACCCCACACAACCCGTAGGGAACTCCACCTCCCTCAAACACCCCACACAACCCGTAGGGAACTCCACCTCCCTCAAACACCCCACACAACCCGTAGGGAACTCCACCTCCCTCAAACCCTAAATTGCAATGTTAATCCAGACCTCAAAAGCATTCTAGATCGCAGCAAAGAATCTTAACACGAAAAACAAGTCTCGCTTTGACGTTCCTAGAGTCCGACACAAAGTTGGAACGTCATGGAATATTTTGTTAGGGGAGGAATACCTGACAGAATGTTACTAAATGTGTACAGACATTTACCATCTTCAAATATAATTAGAAATTACTTGCGTTAAGATGCGTCTTAGACAAAGGGTTAGACATGATGATGAGCACACTTATGTGGCTGACATTATGTGACATGTCTACTTATGTGGCTGACATTATGTGACATGTCTACTTGAGTGGCTGACACTATGTGCCATATCTACTTGAGGGGCTGACACTGTGCCATATCTACTTGAGGGGCTGACACTATGTGCCATATCTACCATAGTGGCTGACACTATGTGCCATATCTACTTGAGTGGCTGACACTATGTGCCATATCTACTTGAGTGGCTGACACTATGTGACATGTCTACTTGAGTGGCTGACACTATGTGACATATCTACTTGAGTGGCTGACACTATGTGCCATATCTACCATAGTGGCTGACACTATGTGCCATATCTACCATAGTGGCAATCGGTCCCAAGTTCGATTCCCGCGGCAATAACTCATTTCAAGTATACACAACACAGTATACAGAACACATGAGGGTATACACAACACTCACCACGCCCTCACCACCTCACAGCTCATGAGGCGAGTGTGGCAGTCAGTGTGGCACGAGGATTTATACAACGTGTAAAGAACACAATAACTCACAGTTTTTTGGTGGGCATTTTGGGATTCTTTTGTTTGCGGGTTTGCCATTGTAGATTTTTTTTTGAGAGAGAGATAGAGATAGATAGATAGATAGATAGATAGATAGATAGAGATAGAGAGATAAATATGTATCTAGCCAAGGAAACATGGTATAAAACGCAAGGAAAGCAGTGACATGCCGGGGCCCAGGAGCTGGTCTTCAAAGTTTCGGACCAAATAAAAGTTACAAGAGCGGGATGGTGACTGTAGGGAGGGAGACAGCTGGGAACACACTCACCAATCAAGCATGACAACGAGTTCCATATATTCCTTCTCTTTGTTACCTTCGCCCTCCGATAACACCAGTTCCCCACCAAACAAGAGTCATACTCTCACCTTTATATATATACGTATATATATATATATACCTTACCTTGAGGCTACCTTGAGGTGCTTCCGGGGCTTAGTGTCCCCGCGGCCCGGTCGTCGACCAGGCCTCCTGGTTGCTGGACTGATCATACGTATATATACATATATATATACGATAGTAGCATATCTAATGGGGGGAAGGGGTGGCAAAGGGGAGTGACCCCTTCCCTTCTCAGCAAAGTTTCCACAAGTGGCGGCCATTCAACAGTTTCTTAAACTTCTAAGTTGACTTGTGCAATAAAATGTAAATTATTTGTTAATCACATGGCCTTGGAAGGACTCCATGGACTCATTGGTGTATTCGACCCACCTCCCACAGTGTTTTATACTGTCTGACAGACGCCGGAGGTAGTGGTGGCGTCTGGTTCCCTCAGACGCCAGCGGCCACCAATGCTGCTGGCGTCAGGGCCAAGCCAAGCGTCGAGGTCGCTATTGCTCCTCTCTGACGCCAGACGGTTTGGTTGGAAGAAAAATGAAAATAAATATTGGATTTTTTTCCAAAACAGTAAGTTAAGGGTCCTGTGGTAGGTTAGGTGGGCAGAAAATTGTCCTTAAGTTTCAAAACGTCATGAAAAATGTTAATTGAAAGTTTCCTCTCCTAACTTTTCCGAGTAGGCCAGAGGACTCAAACAGAAAACGGGACAGGACATTATTTTCGTGAGCCGATTTCAATTAAAATTAAGTCAATTTTTGGCCATAGCGCGCATACGAGGGAAAAGCGAAGTTAGTTTTAAGAGAACGGGTTGTTGAGGATATACAGCAACACTACGCGTTGATGCAGTCCGACGAATTATACAGATTCAGCGAATAGTATAAATCGTCGTGGACCAGCGACTGACGATTTTTGCAACATTCTTCTCCCAGCAATCAAGAACTTGGTGTTGAAAATAACTGCATGTAAGAGCGAGTCTCGTGATTGACTGGGCACCGTGCCGGGGGAAACATATACCCTTCACACAACGATTCTTGACACACCGCTGTCCACATAACTTAAATATGATTATATTTGAAGCTCCAAATTGTTTTTTGGAACTGTAGGAAAGTGTCTCTACAGTACCCTTTTCTTTTCTTCAGGCAGCTTACCTCGTCTTCCACTATTAAAAGAAGAACAACGCAGTCAGATCAAATCTTTCGCACTGACTCTTAGAGAAACTTTGTGATAGAGGACGGGCGTCCCGAGAGTCAGCAAGAGAGGCAGTCTTGCAGAAGTTATCAGCTCTAGTGTAACATAAGAGTTCTGGGTGAGGAGAGACACAGTACATCAGAGCAGCGGCGTCCAAGCGAGGCGTATACTGCAAACATTGTTCTTCTGACTTCTTACTTGTTCTTCTACATGTTCTTGTATACCTATATATATGTTCTGCTGTCAAGTGCTAGACGTGGTTGTCAGTGTATCTACATATTTACAGAACGTAGTATACATCTGTATATATGTATACTACATGTATACTAAATATGTAAATATGTAATAGCTTCTCGTTTTATTTAGCTTTTTGAAAAAGATATGAAAAATATGCAAATGAGTGTGTATCTGAATTCAAACGGATTGAAAAAGAAGTTGGCTTGAAAATGTGGTATTAATACTGAATACAGGCAGCCCACCGTGGGGGGTCACGGGGGTCCTCTGCCCACCGTGGGGGTCACTGGGGGTCCTCTGCCCACTGTGGGGAGTCACGGGGATCCTCTGCCCACCGTGGGGGTTACTGGGGTCCTCTGGCCATCGTGGGGGTCACTGGGGGTCCTCTGCCCACCGTGGGGGTCACTGGGGGTCCTCTGCCCACCGTGGGGGTCACGGGGGTCCTCTGCCCACCGTGGGGGTCACTGGGGGTCCTCTGCCCACCGTGGGGGTCACGGGGGTCCTCTGCCCACCGTGGGGGTCACAGGGGGTCCTCTGCCCACCGTGGGGGTCACGGGGGTCCTCTGCCCACCGTGGGGGTCACTGGGGTCCTCTGCCCACCGTGGGGGTCCTCTGCCCACCGTGGGGGTCCTCTGCCCACCGTGGGGGTCCGTGGGGGTCACAGGGGGGTCCTCTGCCCACCGTGGGGGTCACAGGGGAGTCCTCTGCCCACCGTGGGGGTCACTGGGGTCCTCTGCCCATCGTGGGGGTCACAGGGGTCCTCTGCCCACCGTGGGGGTCACAGGGGTCCTCTGCCCACCGTGGGGGTCACAGGGGTCCTCTGCCCACCGTGGGGATCACAGGGGTCCTCTGCCCATCGTGGGGGTCACAGGGGTCCTCTGCCCACCGTGGGGGTCACTGGGGGGTCCTCTGCCCACCGTGGGGTTCACAGGGGTCCTCTGCCCACCGTGGGGGTCACAGGGGGGTCCTCTGCCCACCGTGGGGGTCACAGGGGGGTCCTCTGCCCACCGTGGGGGTCACAAGGGGTCCTCTGCCCACCGTGGGGGTCACTGGGGTCCTCTGCCCACCGTGGGGGTCACAGGGGGGTCCTCTGCCCACCGTGGGGGTCACAGGGGGTCCTCTGCCCACCGTGGGGGCCACAGGGGTCGTCTACCCACTTATTCCTCTTACCCAACCCATTTATACGGTGGGCACGGTGACGTCACAGTACCCAGGGCGGCATGGTTATTTACGTAAAAAATTGTGTTGAAAATCAGTAATTCGGTGTTGCTGATCAATCGTGCACCCCCCCTACCTGTAGCCTCCCCCCACCCCCCCCCCTCACCAAGACCCAACTGTATCGTCACCCCCTCCGACACGCCCCCCCCCCCTCCCCCCTCCCCCGGTAACAAGAGAGTTCGAAGCTGCAACAAAAAACTCTCGGGTCTGCTTAGAATTTATAAAAAACATTCCGTGCGCCGAGCGTGAAAATGTGTGATTTTTGGGGAGTTACGCAAGAGTTGGACATTCTTCCTTCTTTTTCCTTTATATATACAAGAGTTGTTACATTCTTGTACAGCCACTAGCACGCGTAGCGTTTAGGGCAGCTCCTTTATGTTCATACACACACACACACCCAGGAAGCAGCCCCTAGCAGCTGTCTAACTCCCAGGTACCTATTTACTGCTAGGGGAAGCAGCTCCTAGCAGCTGTCTATCTCCCAGGTACCTATTTACTGCTAGATAAACAGGTGAATCAGGATGAGACAAACTCTGCTCATTTGTTTCCGCTTCCACCGGGGATCGAACCAGGACCTTCAGGACTATGAACTACGAGCGCTGTCCACTCAGCCGTCAGGCACCCCCATATAAAAAAAAATAATAATTATCTTATTCATGGAGGTTATGTCGTGTCGCAGCCAATTGATTACGACGTTCAGTCCTCTTAAGAACTGCTCCTTCACGTTACGACACCCCAAGAGTACTTTTGGCTTTACGTAAACCGTATGTAAGTCACGCCTTCTCGACTACACAACCCCAGACCTGGAGCCAAGGCCTATCAACTACACGATAGTCAAGGCCGTGACAGTAACTCACCAACCAACAAATATACTTTATTCCGGAATATAATTTATAGTTAAACTCAACTATCTATACATTGGATACGTCAGAAAGCGCGGGTAAACCTCTCTATGAAATATGTGAATTGAGTTTGTTGACATACATCAGCTGATATAAAACGTCTGTGATTGGTCAGTTGTCCAGGTGATCCAGCAACGGGATTGGCTTAACAATCAGATGAAATGCTATCTTCACTCTGGTCAAACAAAAGTAGCAGTAGTGACCTCTATCGAGAAGCAGAGGCGGATCAACACAAAATCCCCAAAAAGTTCCCAAGAAGTTATACCTTGTGTAGCGGCAGTAGCCCCCTCTCTCCCATGTGGGAGTGGCAGGAGGGCCCTCTCTCTCCCATGTGGGAGTGGCAGTAGCCCCCTCTCTCCCATGTGGGAGTGGCAGGAGGGCCCTCTCTCTCCCATGTGGGAGTGGCAGGAGGGCCCCCTCTCTCCCATGTGGGAGTGGCAGGAGGGCCCCCTCTCTCCCATGTGGGAGTGGCAGGAGGGCCCTCTCT